CAGATGGCCAAGAAATTTCAAGAGATAATATTATCAATATCTTAAATAAGATGTTGAATCCAGCAATTTCTTTTCTTGATGAGCAGCTAGTGGAAGTTTCAAGGGTAGTCTTACAGGAATAAGCAACTGAAACCCAAAGGATATGGAGGAGTTTCCAAGCTCTTGGAGATATTGCCTTTGCGTACTCTTTTTCTGTCATCCTTATTGAAATTCAGGTACTTAAACGTAATTCCATCCGTTCAAAAACTAGGAAATGCTTAAGAGTAGACAAAACAGAATGGAAGTACTTTTTTCTTGTTAACTAATAGATTCAAGCAAAAATTTGTGACGACTAAGCCGGAAAGTTAAGTCATGATCGCTGTAAGCTCAAGAAATTGTATCTTTGGCAGGACACCATCAGATCCCCACCATCAGAAGCAAAGACCATGAAGAAGGCTACTTTTCTGAGCACGGCAGTGACGACGACTTTCTACATGCTCTGTGGCTGCATGGGCTATGCTGCTTTCGGTGACGCAGCTCCAGGAAATCTTCTGACCGGCTTCGGTTTCTACAACCCATTCTGGCTTCTTGATATTGCCAATGCTGCTATTGTGATCCATCTTGTTGGAGCATACCAAGTATACTGCCAGCCGATTTTTGCCTTCGTCGAGAAACAGGCCACCCAGAGATGGCCTGATAGTGAGTTCATCGCCAAAGAGATAAAGATCCCGGTACCAGGCTTGGGCCAATACAACATGAACCTCTTTAGGATTGTTTGGAGGACGATTTTCGTGATCTTGACCACCGTGATATCGATGCTACTCCCGTTCTTCAACGATGTCGTGGGGATCCTTGGTGCCTTGGGATTTTGGCCTCTAACGGTCTATTTTCCCGTCGAGATGTATATTAAACAGAAACAAATTCCCAAATGAAGCACCAGATGGGTATGCCTCCAAATGCTGAGCATGGCCTGTCTTGTGATATCAATCATGGCAGCTGCGGGTTCGATCGCAGGGGTTATGCTCGACTTTAAGGGCGCGAATGACAACCATTCTATTCCAGAAAGAATTCCTGAAACAGAAATAGATTTTTCTATTTCTATTTTGAGGATGAGTTTCTAAGGAAAAAAACTCGTTTGATAACGACCAAAAATTTCTATTTCTAGAACAGAAACACGTTTTATAACAGCATAAAATTTCTATTTCCTGAAACAGAAACCCGTTTGATAATAACACAAATTTCTATTTCCTGGAACAGAAATCCATTTTTTTAGAAATGGAATAAAAAATTAGAAAATCCGGAAAATTCCTAAAAAACTCAAAAAAAATTCAGAAAATCCATAAAAATTGAAAATTTCCAGAAAAATTCATAAAAATTTCCAGAAAAACAGTCAGATTTCAAGAAAATGGGGAATTTATTGAATTTTTTTTAAAAACGAAAAAATCAAAAATTTCAAAACTTCACAGAATGACTTAGAATACATGTGGCCACCCACTTTAAATGAAATTTAATATTTTTTAGGTGCCCAAAAAAACTAAAAAATAAAAATTTTTAAAACTTCACAGAATGGTGCCCAAAAATTTAAATTTTTGGGCATAGTGGGTGGCCACAGATATTATAAGCCATCTGTGAAGTTTTGAAATTTTTGATTTTTAGATTTTTTTGGGCAACTCAAAAAATTTAAATTTCACTCAAAGTGGGTGGCCACAGGTATTCTAAGCTATTTTGTGAAGTTTTGAAATTTTTTTATTTTTTGATTTTTTTGGGCACCTCAAAAAATTTAAATTTCACTCAAAGTGGGTGGCCACATGTATTCTAAGCCATTCTGTGAAATTTCGAAATTTTTTATTTTTTGATTCTTTTCTGGGCACCTCAAAAAATTTAAATTTCACTCAAAGTGGGTGGCCACAAGTATTCTAAGCCATTCTGTGAAGTTTTGAAATTTTTTATTTTTTTTATTTTTTGATTTTTTTGGGCACCTCAAAAAATTTAAATTTCACTCAAAGTGGGTGACCACATGTATTCTAAGCCATTCTGTAAAGTTTTGAAATTTTTTATTTTTTAATTTTTTTTCTGGGCACTTCAAAAAATTTAGATTTCACTCAAAGTGGGTGGCCACAGGTATTTTAAGCCATTTTGTAAAGTTTTGAAATTTTTGACTTTTTGATTTTTTTTGAAAAAATTCACTAAATTTCCTATTTTCCTGAAATCTGACTTTTTTAAAATTTTCTGGACATTTTTACGAATTTTTATAGAAATTTTTAACTTTTATGGATTTTCTGAAATTTTTTTTGAGATTTTTATAAATTTTCCGGATTTTCTAAATTTTTTTTGAGTTTTCTGAATTTTTTATTTTTTCTGATTTTTCTAATTTTTTTTAGAATTTTTTTATTTTCCCGCCGGGAATGAACCGGACCGAACCGGTTCGAATCGGTTTGACCAGGTCAGATCGGGAACAAATTTATGAAGAGTTGTGTTTTGAAGAGAGAAAACAAATTTTTTTAGAAATGGTTTTCATTTCTTGTCCAGAAACAGAAAACCAACTTTTTTTTTTGTTCTGATTTTTGGTCCAGAATCAGTTCTGGAACAAAAAGTTGTTCCAGAAATAGAAAAATGAAATTGCGTTACCAAACAGATTTCTGTTCCAAACCTGTTTTCGGAAATAGAAAACTAGTTCTGGACAGAAACAGAATGGTTATCATTCGCGCCCTAAGAGTTATCAACCATTCAAGACGAGCTACTAAAAAAATGCACGGACATTTAGTTGATCGGCCATTTAAGAAGAAAAAACTAACATCATTGAAGTTTCCAGTTTCATTGTGCACAATTCCTTAGGTGGTGCTGGCGCGGTTTGCATCTTTGTCTTGGTCTAGTTTGTTTTCTTGAAAAGTTCCTGTTTGGAAGAGAAGGAAGGAACTTGTATGCAAAAAGTGTGGAATACTCTAACATGAATCTCTTTTCTTCTCAATTTGCTTGTTAGTGTAAAAATCTTGCTATGACGAGGGTGAGAAAACACTCATCAATATCACTTTGTGATAACATGTCCTATCAGACAATCGACAACACCCTTGATATCTATGATCAGCCAAACCAACCTCCTCACGAGTTTATAATAAACAACGAAGCGATATAGCATGTGAATTGAAACTTACATTCGTTTATGTGATTTTGATCTCCAAAGACAAGCATCTGTTTACAACAACAAAAATACCGAAAATGTGCTGCTAAAAGTGGGGATGTTCATGTTTGATGCATTAGAAATTTCCTATTTAGTTAAACAAGCTTTGGAACATTGCAAGACAACAATGTCTTCCTTCTCTTCTGTCTGATCGATCCTCCTCCGGCTTCCAATTGTATGCATAATCCTGCTTTTCTTTGACGTTAGCCTTGACAAATGATTTGGCATTACATTTTCACTTTCACTCATTACAATTTTTCTAGGTTTTATTACATTTCTAATTACTAGGTGGCATACATGTCGAATGGACAGCTCTGCTTAGATGGAAACTTCCCGGAATGGCTCCGACCCTTAGGTATTCTCATCCGAGCGGGGGTATGTGCTTGACATAAACAGTCACCTAACGAGGAAAATAAGAAAATCCGTGCTGAAAAAAAAAAAAAAAACGAGAGAAAAACAAGATCTCGAGAAAAGCTGGCATGATCAGTCTGCGTTAACCAACATTCATATCTGGGTAACTTCAATCCTGTCAAAGTAGGGCCACCACCTTTCATGACCACATTTAAACCTTCATGCAACTTTTTCTACGCGTCCTCTCTCCAACGTACAATTCGGCATAGAATTGACCATTCAGATCCCTAACGCACCCTCCTTATTCCCAGCAATATCTTTCCCTACCAGAGAGACAGACAGCGAATTTCACTTGTTGGAAAAGACATCAAGTCCTCAAAAGATGCTCTGCTCATTATTACTCAAAGATTTTCATGAGAACCCGCACAAAATAAAAATATGATTTGTCATGCATGAAGATGTGAACCTCAGTCCTGCGTCCACGAAGGTTTCATTTGAGCTGGAGAATACAAAAAGGTGACAGCTAAAAGGCAGAATCAAAAGGGGGTCCAAATAATTGAAAATGAACGGTCACTCAAAAGCACAGGAAAAATTTGAATGGGTTAAACTAGGAAATGTCAAAGGCAAAGAAAATGCCAAGCACTGTTACTGTGCTTTAATCAGGAAGCAGCTAACGTGGAAGATAACACTCAACAGGGACTATAAGTAGAAATGATTTTTAGGGAGAGTACACATTCAAATGATGGGATTTTTGGATGCTCCATCAGAACCACCAAAGGTGCTGCTTCATGTTTATTCCTTTTTTCATCATGACCTGAGGCCAGTAACGTTAAAAATCATATAGTAGTGGAGATATCATGAGCATCTGGTCCACTTGGACATGGTTCTTCCTCACATACAAAAAACAGAATCCTTATAGGTACTTCGTTTGAATTACTTAGTGTAGATAACAGGGTAAAGTGGACAGACACTTAAACTGCACAGCAGAAGCAGCTGTTCCATAAGTTCTTTTCATCATCTTCTTTCTGCTCTTAATTCAAATTCTCCAAAATGAAGATCAAAAGGTGAAAATCATGGAAGCAGAAGGCAAGATCTACCACTACCCAGATGACGTGATATAGTGCATTTATAGACAGATGTCCTTGTTAATATAGAAATTTGCATATTTGTTAATTTAGAGGAAAACTATCCAAATCCCAAGTAAAATTACTAAACCATCAGCCAAAAGCGAGTTGCTTATTTAAATAGAAAGATCACGACCGTTTAAATAAGGCTTGGCAGCATCTCCACTTTCTTTATTTTTTGATATTGGAAGGGAAACCTTAGATCTCGAGCGATGACGAAATAAGTGACCTTATAGGAAGAAATAGACTATTAGCTTACATGCGACGCCCAAAAAACCAATCACCGTCATTTCGATATGATACCACAATTATGCCTATAAATACACGGCCGGAGGTGTTATGTTCATCATCGAACTAGAACTGTCTGCTAAATAAAGACATTTCTTCTATATAGAGATATGCTGAACAATCATACAGGTCAATACAGATGAGGTTATACACTCAATAAATGGAGCTATATCACAACCCAAGAGGGAAAAAATCACCAAAACGAAGACAGTCTTCTCATTCTCAACGAGAAGCGGATCTAGTAAGAGTTTTCCATAAATGGAATCAACACATGCTATTCTACAAATGCACAACATTCCAACCGATAACACAATAGCCTTCAACTTCTTTTACCTCGAGAGAGACTCAATTGTGGCGAGCGACGATGTTCTGCAACTCTTGGGAGAAATCAACTGGATTGTGTGCATCTATGCTTTGTCTGCACATGTGCACAGTACATTTCATCAAGAAGACGTGCTATCCTTCTTCTGTAAGGAGCAGACTAGCTTCCACCAAAAATATGACATGATTGCCGAAAAGGCAGCGTTGAAGAGGCAAGATGACTCCAGGAATTCAAAAGAGCTCCTCAGAATTGAATTTGTTCCAAGCTTCCTGTAGCATTATTAAAATAACGATATCAGTAACAAGTTATCCCTCAAACAAGAATTCTTCATTTGACTTGTGACTGGTTCCTCCACCCTTCAACAAATTACTTGCTACATAGTGGTACTAAGACGACCCACACTTACAAATATGTCCTGAAAATTTACAGTGATAAAATGCGAAAGACCAACAGAGAAATGACCAATTAGGAAAATTTGATATCCCAAATACCTTAAGGAGGTCAAACACTTTTTCAGCAACATATTTCTGCTGAAGATTGGCACCTTTCTGCTGCACTTTATCAGGATGAATGCACAAGGTTGCTTTCCTGTATACCTTCTTCACTGCTGCACCAGTTATCAAATCTGTCAAAGACACAGGCTGCCAACCACATTCAGGCCAGAGCACCTACCACAAATCACAAAAAGAAATATCAGCCACTGCAAAATACAAATCAATGACCAAAAATCCATCACCGAAAGCAAATAATATCTGTCACTGACTAATATTTTCAAACCAAAGTTTTCCATTCAGTAAACGGCAATAGCCATCATAAGTTAAGAAAGGGAAACAAGTATTTAAGACATACATATTGCAAAGTTGAAAGCAGAGCCCGTAGGTTCCCCTCTTTGCCAGCAGCCCAACGCTTAATCTCCACATCCAATGTTTCGGCAATTCTCTGAAAATCATCCAAAATAATATTAAAGAGAGAAATTCACTAATTTGTAATTTTGACCAAGTATCATTGTAATTAAAGAACTAATGCGGGATGAACATGAATAAATAGAGGAAATATGCAACCCGTATATAGCGACAATCAACAAAAACTATCAGATCCAAAAAACAAAAACAAACTTCAGACTTATTATGGCATCTGCATTCAAATTTACTATTTCATGCCCTTCGTCTTCTAAACCATGTGGGACACAGCATTGGATAAAAGCATCCTCACTTTTCCCCAGTTTAGCAGGGGGCAAAGACCTTGACAGTAAGTGCATTCTTCAAGCCATGGAAAGTACACACTGAGCCTTTGTTATTCATCAGATTAAAGACGATTCATAAGAAGCCATTTGTTGTTTAATTTTCACCAAGGAGAAAAAAGAGATTCTGGAATTCAAGGAGAAATATTCCTAGTCCAATTGCAGAAAACCCTTTGAAAATGTCAAAAAGGAGAAATTAACAAAGCAAAACCTAGATAGAAACGCCAAGTTCAACTTCAAACGACAAAATCCAACAAAATCCAAAAGGCACACAAATTGATAACCTATGTTATGATCCCCTCCTAAGGAGTCTAAATCGTTGTACCACCAGCTGCTGCGCAGCGCAGTTCAGAATGAGATACTTCTTATATCTTCCTTTTTACCTTGCTCCTATCTATTAGGGCACTGCAGAATCATTTCCAGAATTTTGCATGCGAGGGATTAAACATCCATCGCAATGGAGAAAAAGTTTTTGTTTTCAATTGTCATATCTATGATTGATCAGTCTCAAAGAGTGGCAAAAGCAGGAGATTGATGATGGAGAAAGTTGCAAATTGGTGAAAGATTCACAGATGGCAGAAGTGAGTTTATGGTACAGCATTAACAGGCAATCGTTTTCAGCCCTTCTTATGGGAGTTTAAAGCCTGAACCTAACATTCAAAAGCAATTTAAGACTGCAACATAGAAATTCAAGGATTAGCCAAGCTTTATGACAAGCCATACCCAATAGTCATTACACTTGCAGAATCTTGATAAGTTAGGTGACAGCAACAAACTTTAGCAATAAAAGTAAAGCAATCAAGACTTGAATATATGTCTTTCTGCACCTAAGCCACGAGTTTAATACTCAAAAGTAGCACAGACACATAAAAAGAAACTTAAACATAAGGAAATCACAACAGCTTCTTACATGTCTCTCGGCCTGCTCCCTTTGAACTTGAAGATCCCGCTGGTTCTTCTCAGCCAGAGCTTTTACCTAAATAGGACAGACAAGACATAAATCTAAGAGAGAGATCCAGAATAATCAAACCAGTTCAAATGAGGCTAAATTTCAGCATCCATCATTCACAAGAGATTAACAAAATGTCCCCTTAGCAAGCATATACCGCTCGTTCTTGTGCCCTCTGTTGGCGCTCCAACCGAGCTCTACGTCTTTCTTCAGTTTCTCCTTCAACTTCCTGGAACTCCCCAGATGATGCTACTCCTCCTTTTGGTTAACAGAGGGAGTAAAAGTTCAGTAAACAATCAATATTTAGAGTTAATAAAGCTTTATCTCTCTGTGAAGTTCATGCATGCTACCTCCAAAAATTGAAGAAAGATCGTCGACAATATTTGTAGTTGATGAGGCTTTTCTCATGCTTGATGAAGTAGATTCAGATGTCTTGGCCACATCAGGCCCCTTTCTGCTTTGTGACTGTGTTTCAAAGAAAGGATCCTGGGTCATCAAGTTAGGATTAGAAATCATTTTTTACAGCCATTGTAAGGTCAAAAAATCCAGCAACTCAGCTCTAAATTCAAATACTCACTGCAGAATTGGCCCTGGGCCGCGGAGCACTGCTTGCTCGACCCATGCTGAAAAAGGATTCAAGATCATTATCATTCTTTTGTTGGTTGGCTTTAGCTGCCTTTTCTCGAGCCTCTGCAGCAGCCCTCTCTCGAGCCTCTACAGCAGCCCTTTCTCGAGCCTCTGCAGCAGCTCTCTCCACAGCAGCTCGTTCTGCTTTCATTCGTGCTTCAGTAGCCCTTCCCCGTGCTTCCCTATCCCTTGCTTCTGCTGCAGCCTTCTCAGCTCTTTCCCTCGCATCTGCAGCTGCTCTTTCACGGGCTTCCGCTTGTGCTCTCAGCACTGCTGCCCTTTCAGCTTTCAGGCGAGCCTCCACAGCTGCTCTGTCACGTGCATCAACAGCTGCTCTCTCACGTGCCTCCCTAGTAGCCCTTTCCACGGCTTGTCTGGCCCTTTCCCTCTCAATCTCTCTTCTCTCCCTTTCCTTTTCAAGTCTCCTTTGTTCCCTCTCTTTTTCTTCTCTTTCTCTCTCTTTCTCAAGTCTCCTTCGCTCTCTCTCTTCCTCTTCCTTCTCCCTCTGCAGCCTCTCGCGATCTAACTTCTCTTGCTTTTCCCGGAGAGCTCTCTCATGAGCATCCAGAAAATCCTCGTCCTTCTCAAGATGCACGGTGTCTCTACTTCTAGCAGTCTTACTACTCTCTCTTTCCCTTACCTCCTTTGCATGCCTAAACTTGGCCTCGGCCCTCTCCATGGCTTCTTTCATGGCTGCTGCAGATGCAGCAGCATCAGAGTTCATACCCATTTCCTCACTAGAAAAGCCGTTAGAATGATCATCAACATTATTTCTACTCCCGCCCATTGCAAAATCTTCTAATTCATCGATTGGAGATGAAACTGAACTCCCATAAGCAGGAGGGAATGACTTAGGATCCTCAAAATTTTGAGTGGAATTTGGGAATGAAGAAAACTCATTAACAATTTTCTTCGCATTTGCAGATCCGAAAGAGCTACTTCCTGCTCTCGAGACTCGTGCTGGCCTTGGAGGAGGAGGTCTAGACGGCGGGGGCACACTTGTAGGTTGTGTAAAAAGAGGAATTTCTGATACTGTGAGCCATAACTCATCTGAGGATGAGACATTTTCCTCATATCTTGGGGACATGTCTACTGGACTACTGGCATCATTGGGATTGGCCTGCGCATAGGAAGGACCAGAAGCAGTTTGACCAGCAGACATGTTAGTACCTTGAGAAGCAGGAGGAATATCGAAAAAAGCTTGATCAGATTTAAGATCATTATCAACAGGCAAAGACTCTTCCTCATAGTTATCTGGACTCCCCTTAGAGCTGCGCTCTCTCCTCAGATGACTTCTATCCTTGCTGCTATTGGTTCTTTCAGATGAAAATGACGGCACAGATTTTCCCAAGCTATCAAATGGATCCATGTCATCGTATACTCCCCCACTGGATACAGATGGAGCATCAGTTTTCATGCTCTCGGATTTACCGAGCTTACTAAATTCTTCCAACGGGTCAGTGGAAAGGCCTGAAGATGAGGTCACATGGGGTGAGGTTGATCCTAATGACGCAAATGGATCTTCTGTCATTTTACTCGTGTGATGTGTTGGCTCAGAAGGCCAAGTAGGCTCTGGTATTGGCCTGCAGGAGAAAGAGAAGTTGGTGCATGTACTGAGGAATATCTTATACATTTGTGAAACGGAAAATGAGGAAAAGTACCTTACCAAAAAAAAATGAGGAAAAGTAAAATTACCAGCATGATTACAATTAACAAGATAGTGATCCCAGATAACATTCTCTTAGGGGGTAGCAAGGGCGGGGGCGGGGGAGGGGGGATAGGGGTAGAGAGAGGAGAGTTGACTTGATTAGTTATGTTGTAAATTAAGTTGTAGGATGGCTATGGCTATGCAACTCGAGTCATTTAAACAAACCTTACATAAAAAAAAAAATCATCTTGCATCGTAGTGACCACAGATAAGCACAATTCCTTCTATATCACAAGACCCAATCACTCCATCTTTACCTCAATTGTGGAAAAACAAGGCAAATAGAAATTGCCCAATGCCCTTTCAAAAGATTAATTACACCAAATAACCTCATAAACTGCTACCAGATAACCATAAACTTCATGATTTGGCTGTTGCTCTTGAAATGACCCTTAAATTTTATAATGTTTAGAATTTAAAATCATCTCAGTCACTGCCATGTTAATTGATCTTATCATGTCACATATTCAAATCTTACTTACAATCTGAGAAAAATAAAGAAATAGCCCATTTTCTCCAAAGTAGAAACGTCAAACCCAACCCCCCCCCCCCCCCCCCCCGGGCAATTCCCTTTTCTTTTTCTCCTTCCCAAGGCTAGGTCCTCGTTGCAATTTTTTTCTGTAGGTCTACATAGTTAGAATATAAGAACAGTTCATGTAATCCATTGGCTGCAGTCGTAATTAGGCAACTGAATCAGAGTCAAAATCCCTTCGAATGTGATAAACTATACTACCAGTTCTCCTAGAACTAATACTGTCTTCCAGGGTGATTCAATTACTTCGTTAAACTGATCAAATTTTCTAATGTCAGCATATCAAGGAGTTTATCATAAATGGCTGACGAAGCCAATAAGAAGCAAATCACCATAAGAGTAGCATATGTTGTCTCCTAGTTGTTCCAATAACAAGGCATGCGGTATGCAAATCTATGGCAAACCTTTGGCAACATTAACAGTATGTTTTACTGCTAGCTACTGTTTAGTCATAGAATTTCCATGTTCATATTATTAATTACATTTTTTATTCAATTATATACATTTTTCTCGAACAAAACACAAAGATTGAGAATCTTTGATCCTCCAAAATTTCACCATTGCAAACTACATCTCGTGAGATTGAATCCAATCTGATGAAGTCTGTAAGTTTGTAACCATCACCAGATGGTTCGTATTTGAGAAATCTGACAAAACTTGACTCAAATAGCTTGTCAAGACTCCACATTGTCCAAAGCTACAAAAAGATGAAATATATAAAGTTGGTTTGTTCCAAAATTTAATATCTGATGGGGACAACTGTTACAGTGAAACTGTTAGACCTAACAGAAAGTGGAACAGCTAAGGAAATACTTGCTCTAATAACACTTCATGCTGTATAGTTTATGGAGTTAAATGCAATTTTCTTGGCACAAGTACAAGGACCTATACCAAGACAACTATACCTTCACATTTTTCAGTAGGCATCTCCATGTTATAGAATGAATATCCATATCCATATTCATAACATCTAAAGAACTACAGCATGCACAAGGCAGTTTCATGAGCAAAACAGCATTCTTCTTGATAATTGAGATCATAAACTAGTGGCATTCAAAAGGCATACTGCTGCCCAAAGTTGATGAAGAGGGTCATTAATGGAGCTAAATTATTCTTGCAATCCAATGAGTCTGATTCCATCTAAAGAACTTGGGAACTTCACATCACAATTGAGTAACTATAATTGACACCAAGGTTTACCTCAACCATAAGTCCACTTGCTTCATTGTTTAATTTACTGTGTGATGGAAGAAGTACAGAAATGAATGTATTCCGAGAAAGGGAAAATGACATAAACAGTTCCTGAACTTTGGCCCAATGTGCAATTTGGTCCCTGAACTTTTAATTTGTTCAATGTAGTCCCTGAATTTTAGGCTAATGTTCAATGTCATCCCTGAACTTTTAGTACATGTTCAATTTAGTTCCTAAACTATATGAAAATGTTTAATGTAGTCCCTAAACTTGAATTAATGGAAAGGACTGCATTGAACATTTTTATATAGTTCAAGAACTGAATTGAACATATACCAAAAGTTCAAGGATGACATTGAACAAATTAAAAATTCAGGGACCACATTGCACATTGGGTTAAAGTTCAGTGACTATATTGAACAAATTAAAAGTTCAGGGACCCAATTACACATTAAGCCAAAGTTCATGGACTGTCTGTGTAATTTTCCCTTCCGAGAAATAGGTGTAAGATTAGAAGAGCTTGTTTGCAATTGAATGGACACATGAAATGACGTCCGGTTGCTCTAGTGAGAAGATGCGATTATAGGATCAAGAAACAACTAACAAAGAGTAGAAGAAAACCTAAAAAGACATGAAAGGAGACGCTAAAAAAATATGGGGAGTACCTAAAACTACAGAAAACTTTCATACCAAATAGAGAACAATGGTACAAAAGCATTCAAATAGCCGACCCCACTTAGTCGGATAAAGTTATGAAAAGTAGCAATCACAATCTCCCAACATCTTTTATCAAAAATGAGAAGAAAATAAGTTTTCCCCTTCACAAATCCCGATTTCTCCACAAGAATATCGCTCTAAGAATAAAAAAAGAAAAGAAAAGGTAGATTCTATGTTCACCACTGCACTTTTCCACATAGAGATTGAACTTTCCATTTCCAGTAAGAAGACTGGATAGACCATTAAGTGCCAAATCCAATCAAGCACGTCGATTAAAGATGAATGATCGTTGCCATGAAAATGCCGTGTTCCTACCGGTAATCACACTTGGAAATAAAGAAATACTGACTGCGAGTTTGAAAGAGAAAAGGAAAGAATATGCGATCAGATCAGCAGATTTTGGCAGCGAGAGAGGAAAGAAAAATCAAAGTAGATAGTACAAGTTAAAGCAGACATTAAACAACAATTATTTGGGCTTGTTAACAAGTGTCCTTGGGGGCACCACTTGTTAAACATGTTTAATGAGAAAAAATTCAATTTTCAAAACATTAACCGTGCATATCACAAGAAGAGTCTGATTAAATGATAAGTCCATTCATTCTTCTTATATACACATTTTCCTTCTCAATGGATCAGCTAAAATATTCATATAACGATCTCTTGGAAAAACAAGTCGCAACTTCCTCAAAATGCTGTGTTTGGGAAGGGTAGACTGTGCACGGGAGGAATTTGTGGGAGGATTATAAGATTCGGAAGTCATTTTCCACTATTTGGAAATAAAAGAGAAAAATTATGCGATAGGCCCATATATCCAATCTCTCAAATTTCCAAAAAAAAAAATTATAGGAAAGGCAAGAGATGTGTATGCCAGTGACCTACTCGGGATGGTACATACCTAATAATGAAGGTTATGAAAAAGCAATCAGTCTACTATTTCTTCTCTATCATTCCTCCTGACCAAACAAGCAAAAGAAAGTTGATTCTCAATCCCCATTTTCAATGCCGTTACTTCCCTTTCTTTTCAATACACTCTTTCTCCCACTTCTTTTCATGTCAAGCACAGCATAAAGGTGGGAACTCAACTTCAAAAGCAACATAGTACCAATAGATCGTCCCAAAACCCTGATAGCTATGGGGTAAGGAGGGCACAACAATTTTCTTCATATTCACATACGGAATCCGCAGGGCTTTGCCACATAAATACCAAATCCTATTTGGCCATGTCAGTTCAATGCATACCCTAAGATCGATAACAAATCCACTGGGATCATAAATGAAGACCTAGTAAAAGAGAAAGTATGTACACAGTGCAAACAGCAGACAATGCTGCAAGAGATTAGAAAACAGATAAACTAGTTAAATCAAACAATGATCAACACTATTTTGATCAACCAAAGCTAGCTCTAGCAGGTGCAATCAAAATACGCTCAATTAGGAACAATGCTGACAAATACTAAATCTCTACAGTACTAAAAACACTTGAAGTCCACAATGTAATCAGGAAACAGAGACCAAGGCACTTAGCACATACCTGTTCTTAGCAGGAGGACCGCTTCCTCCAAACCCAGGAATTAAATCATTATCAAAAGCTGGGACACTCCTGTCATACACCTTACTCTTTGACTCACCTTCCTTCTTTCCAAATCCGCCCAAAAGATCGTCAAACGCACTACTTTCGTTCCCTTTCCTCCGCGGAGGAGAATCAGAAATGGACTTGAAGACATCCTCAAATTTAACCCCGGTAGAGCTCTTCAAGCCCGGAACACCTTCAAATATATCGTCGTCGTAGACCGGCGGCTTATCATACACCGGCGAACCCGGCGATTTGGCGCTCGAATTGTACATCGAATCGAAATCGAAACCCGAACCGCCACCGCCGCGGCTCTCCGATTTGCCCGCGCCCCTCGCATTGTCGCCGAAGATGTCCCCGAAGTCGTCTAGGGTTTGGGACCTCGCCTTCGGCTCGAAGCCGAAGGCGTGATCGGAATTGGGGGCGCGGCCGGATCGGGATCCGAGATCGAAGTCGAAGGAGGCGGCGGAGGCGGAGGAGGGTTTCATCGGGGCCGATTTGCCCTGGGGCTTGAAGCCGAAATCGGCGGTCAGGAGGCCGTCGAAGTCGTTCATTGCCGGCCGGGTGGGTCGGTGGGGCGGCGGGCCTTGGATTGATGGGTCGGGTCGGGTCGATCGATCGACCGGGGGAGGATCTCCCGACGAAGGGGGGGGGGGGAGATCGAGAGGGTGGGTGGGATCGACAGGAACGGAGGAGGGTTCGTCGGGTGATCTGCGGAGTAGGGAAGAGCTTCGAGCGAAAAACTGAGATCTGATGATGATGATGATGGTGGTGGTGATGAAGGAGGGCGGGAGAGGGAGAGAGGAGAGGAGGAAGAGGTTGGGCTGCTCCTTCCTTCTCTGGGAATGAAGGTGGGGGGCAGGAATTGAAAATGTCAAGAAAATGGGGGAAAAGGAGTTGGTGTTTTTGTGCGCGTCTGAGGGGGGGGGGGGGGGATCTAATCTGACCACTATTTCCTCCTCTTCTTCTTCTTCCTTCTTCTCCCCCTGGAGTTTTTTGGTATATTTGTCCTCAGTCTGTCTGTCTCTGTCTCTCTCATTCACCTTCTGCTCTTATCCTTAATTACCTCTCTTGCTATTTGCGTGTGTTTGGCTAGGGGTGATCGGTTCCCGAGTTGAGCCTGTTCCACGTTAGAACCGAAAACTGAACCGGTAAAGGCCGGTTCACGAGTTCTTGAAATCGAGAGCCGGATTGGTAGGGCCGAGAACTGACCTGAACTGGCTGGTTGTGGTCCGGTTTGAGGTTTTGACAATTTCTTTTTCTTTTTATGCTTTAAAAGAAGGGGAAATTTTTTATTAAAAAAAAAATACATATCGATCTAGTCCGATCCGAACAGTTTGATTTCGCACTTGGAATAGAGAACCAGACTAATTATTCCCAATTTCAAAAATTTAGAATCGGGAACTAGACCAGTTCTCTCTGTAACCGCCCAGAACGGGCTGATTTGGTCCGGTCCGGTCCCAAATAGGTTGGGTTCCCGTGCACACCCCTAGTTTTGGCATTGTTGTGTAGTAAAATTGATTTATAAATCTTTAAGCGCGGTGAATGATAGCCCAGCACAACAGGTGAGTCGTATTCAATATTTTCCATAAGAATTTATCGTATCGATTGAAAGGAACCGACTCGCCAACGCATCCAAGGTACGGATTATATTTTCTTCTTATGATACTATGGACAATCAATGCGCTTAGATACATACCTCGGCCTCGGTCCAATTGAGTGTAAATTTTATTGTCTCGTTATCTTTGACTATGTGATACCAAAGAGTGTCATTAATGATGGTCTTCAGTTATTCTTTTTCTACTTCACATATACTTACTTTGACTGTGAGCTAAGATTAATGTTTACTCAGAATGAAGTCAAGGAACCCACTGCCATCTCAATGAATACTTTAGAAACTTTAAAGTCTTCATCTAGGATAAGATAGAAGTGGATAAATTATAGCCAAAGATAGTAATTTATGATTAATTCATTTTAAATCTTAATTTGTTGAGTAAGAGGTTATAAAATTCTATCACCGAGATTACTTTTAATTTTCTTTTGCCATTCGATTTATGTGATTTTAATTCTACTATGCAGCTTCCCGATACTTTCTTTCGTGCACATTCAAAATTCTGATGTTTTTGTGTAGATCTTTTCTAACTTTCACAAGCCAATTGTGACACGTGCAAGTTAAAAAAAAAAACTTGCCAAGTGGCAAAACGAGAATGAAAGTCTTCAAGCTTGCAATTTATGTTTAGAGGTAATAAAGAAATTGATAAATGATAGGCCATAGCCAATATTGGTATTCTAACATGATAGCACTTTTCAGTTCACTCGCTATGCATTATCTATATTAGCCAAATAATTTCTATTTTTCCTTTTATCAATTAATTTTATTGATTTTATCTCTTATCCATCTAACCACTTAATTCTTTTATTACGAAATTGCTTTCTTATTTATGTATTTATATAGAATTTTGTGACTCGTGCGTGTTAAAGAAGATGCCAAAGTGGCAGAATGAGAAAGGATAGACTTCAAGATCAAACAAATGGGAAAATCTGATTTCTTTATCATCAACTTGGCCCTTAAAGTTAAAACTTAACTTTCACATTAATCTTCCTTTTCTTTTTTTATCTAGATAATGTCATCAATGTACATTGTACTTTTATTCCAAAACCCAAATCAATTGTTTACTTTATTGGTTCAGAAATTGTCGTTCTACATTTTAAAAAGTGCCACCCGCGATAGATTTTGCCGAGATGTACTCTCTATTTTTTTATTTTTTTTTGGCTGAGGTGCACTTTTTTTTTTGTCATGTTACCGAGCTGTACTTGACCCGTTTAGAAAAACACGATAATCATTTTATCGTAAAGTAATTTACCATATCTCGCATTTTCTAGGGACACATTTCATATTGAATTATCGAAAAGAATTAGAAGCATGGTTACCGCGATTTAGTAAGGCGAACCACTCAAGAAGAGAACACCGTTCCGAAGTCATGACATGAGAACCTTCGTGCATCACCATCTGCTGGACATTTATGAGACTAAACTTGGTGTCAGTGTTTCACCACAACCAATGGTCAATGCCAATGTCCATCTTTAATGAGAGGCTGCGTGAAAGTCTACCAATCGTCGATACCATGTTTGACCCCTCCTCTCTCTCTCTCTCTCTCTCTCTCTCTCGCAGCTTAAACAGTTTTCCCCTTCGAACAAAAGACTGATGCCGGAATGTAAGTTGAGTTGCTTCAGGGCCTTTTGGAGAAAGGCCGGTGTGAAGGCCCCGTACTCACCATCCGACCATCGACATGAGCAGACATATAAACCCTAACCACCAGAGATGCTGCATATTTGTGCCGACACCGGAAACGTAATGCTTTCATTCCATATCTAGTCATCGCGGGATCACAACCCATCCAGGGATGTTAAATGCTCCTTTTCCAGTTATTTAAACAGAAGCAATTATGGGAAGCAGTTCAGCAATAAGATATAAGCTTCCCTCAAGCCTTACAAAGCCTATTAAACCACAAAAGTGGAGCCCCATCTAAACTATTCACATTGGCGTTAAGTTCTAATATAAGGGTTCAACTATCAAGATAGAAGAATAAAGACCAACGGCACAAGTCCCCGCAAGGATAGATCATTTACAAAAAACCTAGGAAATGGAGAAGTTGAAACCAAACTTCGCAGATGGCACAACCTTGTCGGCCAGTATTAGAGTGCCGAAAGGATTGGCTGTAATGAAGCATCTTTCAAGTGATCACATTCGCATCCGCTTGACATCAGTCTCGGGAACACTCACGTCGTTTCTGTTATCCTGCCACTGAACCTAGAAATAGGAAAAGCAAATCAATGATCTAATCTATCTCATTACAAGGTAGATACGAACCTTGTTGCGCTGAATGTAATAGCTTTGAAAATTACATTATCAAGTCTTAACTGCATATTCTTTCTTTTATTGGTCAAGTCAACTGATTGCAATCTAAGAAAACAAGTAGAATTAGTCTCTGTATTATCAGACACAACAGTGGAGATGTCATGGTCAGGAACATCACTAGATCTGTGGCTCCACAAGTTTCACATCAGGAACAATTGTAGTTTAGAGTTTTAAGAGCCAGTGACTTACGGTTTCATCAGGAACAAGGGCATATCTCTCTGATGGGGAGACCCACGTTTTTCCTGTGTAAAGTTTTCCATGCATATAAAAAGATGCAACATATTGGGTGAATAGTGAGTAAACATATCGTAAAAGGCAGGGAAAATCGAGATCATTAAGCACCTGATGAGAGATCTAGGTTTGAGGACTGAATTTGCTGCCCACTAGATCCATCAGCACTCAAAGCATCTATTATCTTTGGCATGTTCCTACACATTTTCCAAGTAATTAACATCAGTGAACAGAGATTCGGCAACAACTTCGTTAATTCTACATATGTGAAGTAATGTAGACCATGTTCATTATCACCAGTTAAAAGTTCCATCATTTCCTCCGTTCTTTCAGATAATCATCAGCTCCCGAACTCAACCACGTATCTTCACTATTACCAACATTACTTATTCTCCAGAACAGTGCCTATGTTGTAGATCAATTAATGAAGTTTTTAAAAACATTAGCTGACAAAAACTAAAATGAAGTTTCTTTTTTTTTTTCAAAATCGAGGAAAGTTATTAATTTTTTCTTAAGCTTTCATGTCTCCAACTCAATGCATTTGACTATTAGATTATTACAGAGATGAGTCCAACTCAGAGTATGAACCATAAAAGAAAATACCTATTAAACCGATCATAGGAATACTAAATAGAAGACCTATTGTCCAATGAGAAATCCTTCCAGTAGTATCGGCCATTTAGTCCACCCAAGCAAACCCCACATATACATTTGGCCAGAAGAAAAACCCCACATAAACAGATGGCACACTTGAGGGTCACCACATCCATCTAGTACTGGATATTTTCACTTCTTAGTCATGGTAAGAGAACTCGGGACTTGATTCAATCAATTCATTGAAAAAAAGCGTAAGGGTGACAATATACTATCTTACGATCCTTGCCTAAGCCCAGATTAAAGTTTCTTCTTCATATTCAAATATCAGTTCAGTTCCTTGATGGATGCAATAAGGAAGGTATATGCTCGCATCAATTTTCCCATATTTTGTATATAAACAGAGAGTTCTCTCAGGAAAGAAGCAATGAAATTACGTCAAAGCATATGGTGACTGTGTGCAGCAAACTACAGATTACAGAGTTCATTGCTCTTAAATGATGCCACAAGCACAAGCAGCAATACCCAAAAAATGCATGTAGACACTTTTACCTATCAACAGATTCCCCATGCCCAAGCTGTCCATTAGTTCCTCTACCCCAGGAGAAAACATTGCCTTCTTCAGTAACAGCTAGTGTGTGCCTCCATCCACATGAAACCTGAGCCACTTTCTGTCTCAAAGGAAAAGAACAAAGAACGTATTAGCACCAGAAGTAGGAAAAGACAATAAGGATGAAAAGTTGCAATCTCATGCGTGCGAGAAAGGAAAACCCACGGAACTGAAAAAAAATGCCATGAGCTATCTTATCAGTTATCCCAATAAATGGAAGTAAGGATGTGCCTGCTCATTAGGGAATTTGACTTGCACAGGAGCACAATGATCAACGTTGTCACCCACTCCAACCTGTCCAAACTGCATATAAAAGAGGAGAGAGTATCAGTTAATTTGCAGTATCACAACTAAAGCATTAGCTTTAGAAAATAATTACGCAAAAGATGTAGAAATATAGAGGAGAAATTCAGATATGAATCCCCAAAAAAAGTAATAATAAAGACGAATTACTCCAACATCCCTCAGGTGTAGGCAAAGTTGCAGGACGAGTACTCTGCTTTCGAAAATACCTCTAACACCAGTACATCCACTATTAAAATCATACAATGCGGTGATTTTATTTGTATATCTCTCTAATCTAGATAAACTAAAAACAATTAACTTGGAAGGCATCCATCCACATTAAAATTATATTATAAAAGCATTATTCATCAACTCAACTATTTTAATATTATCTCATAAACAAAGTGGATATTGAATTCACATAATCATATTTCATTTATTTGATGAATCCAATAAACTGTGATAGAGGGTATCAAAGTGATTCTGTAAAACACATGGGGTCTCCCTCCAATTTTGCCAAAACCTGACGGTCAACTTAGAGAAATTTAAAAAAAAAAAAAAAAATCTTGCGAGAAATTTATCCAAAAGAACATCAAATCCCACTCTAACAAAACCTAACAAAACCAATACCATAGGGAATGGCAGATCCAGACTGCACATGCCGAAAAAAGAACGCCCAAGCATTCAGTAAATGTTCATTAAATAAAGAGAATATATCCATATATGGAGAGCGAAGAGAGCTCAGTGGAACTGAACGGCTTCCTAACGTCCCAGGCAAACAATACTGGGCAATTGCTGATGGAACTGATTAGCAAGGAGGAGTCTAACCAAGTGATGGTGAAAAGGAAGCCAAAAACGAACCTTGTTCCAACCCCAGCCATACAATTTTCCATCAGAAGTGAGCGCCATAGTGTGTCTCCAGCCACCAGATATCTGGAAAATAGAATTTGGGTTATTTGAACAGAGATAACATGTTCGGCTGACCAGATACATTCAGTAAACCCTATCTCAACTTAACATTTAGCAAACAAGGTATCAAAAGTACTAGCACGAATAAAAAGCCTAAAATAGAGGAAGAAAGAATGCAGAAAAGGTGATAAAGTGATGCCGATTAGACCTACATAAGCACGCATCTTCATCAGCCGTGAACTATAGGTAACAAGAGAAAGTTGAGTATTATTTTATTCATACATTGTCCAAATCAAAATCAGGAAACCAGCGAAGCTAAGTTCAGAAGATCACTCCCATGGATCCATTCACAAGCACTTGTTAAAAGTCAGTCGTTCCATTTCTTCTCTAAGGACCTTTCACCAATAATCTTTAGTAGGCCAATAGGCATTGGAAGAAAGACAGAATGACAGCTGCAATTGAAGGATGTGTCACCTGAGAAACGAAACTTCCATGCAAAGCCTCCAGCTTGTGAGGAACAAGGTGATCTTCAAAATTTCCATGGCCAAGTTGACCATACTTGCTCCATCCAAAGGTGTATAAAGCACCAGAAGCAGATACTGATATTGAATGTCGCCATCCGCAGGCAACCATAACCATCTTTTCTCCGTTCAACTGATTGAATTCGTAAGAATGTTAGAACAATAGTCCTCGATACCATACAATGAAATAATACAACCAACAGTTATAAAAACAAGATGATATGTTTACTATAACAAATAATAAAGTTTTTCCTTCGAAAGTCAAATACAGCATTGTTTTCTAAGCACACCAGAAGCAAGCAACAGACTAGCAAGATAAAATGTTCTCTTTAAGTCAGGAAACAATTGTGGTCCGTATGCCATGCCACATAGCACGGAACTACATAAAGTTGAAGTAATTAATACCCTATAATTTATATTGGGTTAACAAAATACTTCTTGTTTTGGCTACAAGTTCTTTTCTAAGAGACATAATCACCCAATCTACAAAAACAGTGCCCCACAAATCAATGTCACCCAAGTCATCCAGACAAATCTAGTTGCTGGTGAAAAACCATCAGTTCCAGAACAAGCTAGCACACATGAAATTTGAAAGACACAAGAAAGCTGGCACGATAACCAAGATGAAACTAATAATATACAAAGAAGAGGTGTGTCAGAGACTCAGAGCTGCAGAATCAAAACCATTGCTCTCAAGGTAATTTATAAGGTGATCATATAAACTGCTTCCTATGTCTGTTTATTCTTCTTCTTTTTTTAATTAAAAAAACAAGGTTCTCTACACTTCGACTACCAGAAGTATTAATTATATAGCCTAACAGTGGCTTGCCTTCACATTGAACATATTGTAGCCTGTTAAGCAGTATCTAACTTATACTTTACGAGCACATCACTGATGATGACTGTTAAAAGAAGCCAAGCTGTCTGGTCCTTTTCTCACATCAAATTCTGATCGGTGAGCAGAGAAAAACTTCCAAGTATTTGTGTAACTCTTCACGCACAGATCTCCTAAAGGACAACTTTGCATTGTAGGATTAACCGCATGGGATGACTGAAAATTATTTTAACTAGAAAAAGTTCACATCACCAAAATCTTAACTTACATGAATAGCAGAAACTTTCTCAGGAACTAAGCGATCAGTTCTGTCACCTAGGCCCAAGTTGCCATAGCGGCCCCAACCCCATCCGTAAAGCTCTCCAGCTTCTGTAACTGCAGCAGTATGTTCAGCTCCAGCTGCGACCATTTTAATGGGGATCCCCTAGAAGTTGCATCACCATGACAAAGCAAATAAGCTATTTAAGTAAATCCCTTATCCTTCTACAAAGTAAACTGTAAAATGTTCCTGTGTGTCATTAATTCGTATTCGAACACAAATGGAGGCTCGCTGTAAAGGCCTCAAATAGTCAAAACTTGATGCAGCCTTAGAAGAAAGATTGAGCATAATCTCTGGCAGTAGTGAACACACATATCTTTCTCAAAAAGGATGTTGGTGAAAGATGGGTCGTCTATGCAGTGAGCAACCAACATCCTTATTGACATTATTACCGAGAAATAACTTGCCAGTACCTGAAATGCATGTATCTTCTGTGGTAGAAGAGAATCCTCAGTGGTGCCAAGACCAAGTTGACCATTTTGATTCCTCCCCCAGCTTCAATCAAGCAAAGAATTTGTAAGGAAAAGTGTAAGGCACTGGCTGGTTTTACATTGGTGACTTTAACCTAAAGCATTCTATCAGGGAACAATATCAACATTGAGGAAACACATTGGATATTAGAAACACGCAAAAGCTGTAGGAAAACCAAACTTTAGATTGATGAAGTACCCCTTACTGAGGTGGTTACAATAAGCTCCAACGTAGGGTTGGCAATTCATTTGTTCGTGTCACAAATCGTGTAATGCCAAATTTAGGTCTAATCCAAACATGGCCACATATAGTACGCATTCCATATTTTTGAAACACAAACATGAAATTCACTTAACGGGCTATACAATCGACACGTTAACATGTCGAACAGTCAAAGATATAATCTCTTATTTAAACGTGTAAAAATTTGTTTAAAAGTATATTAACGTATCGTAATGAATATATCTAAACATGTCGAGTTGAATGAATAACACGTTGACATCATGTTTAATTAAAAGTGTCATAAGGGTAAACCGGCGAATGACACATTTATTGTTTGTGTATAAACAGGTCGACCCATTTATGACATGAACACGATGAAGCTCAACCAAAGCACGCTTACTACATGTTAAACAAAAGGGTGGTGTTGAAAATTGATAGCCCTACTCTGAAGCTGCGACAGGGTTAGTGTTGATGGTCATATCATTACATTGTGCAAGCACTAAAGCACTGGTTTTGGAAGGTCCAAAATAAACACATGTCATATCACTAGCAACTTATGTGTTATCACCAAAACTTGGAAATGTACTTGACTGCATAAAATATGTCAGCCATTTATAGAACACTTAAGCTAGCTTGGCAGAAGATATATGCATTAAGTGGAACATACAGAACTGAAGACACAGAATTTAACTTTAGTAGGTACTTAAAAGGGAATAAACCCCCATGTGCGAGTAACTTTCAGATATGTTAGATTCTATCCGTCATATGTGAGCTCTTTTGTGTATATGCTCGTTACAACCCCAATTTCTTTTCTTATTCAGTTCAGTCCCCTCAACTCTTTATTTTGTTAAATCCATATCACATTGGAATGAAGCAAGCCACCAATTTAAAGATCACTCGGTCACATGGCCCAAAAGTTCCACGCTACTTCTCCCCCCTCAGACAGGTAACATGTGTGTGCACCCACACTTTCAAAGAGAAAGAGAGACCAAAAAATATCTTCTCAAAGGAGAAAAATATTATGTGAGCTCATCAAAATCAGATTATTAGAAGATGTTTCCATCAAACAATTGTGCAATTAAGGAATTTAGCATGCGACTACCTTCAATGAGACATGTCAAACTGAAATACAGCCAAAGTACAACAATAACACAAGTCAAGTGATGTCGAAAATTCCCATGAATCACGGTCACAAGAAGAGAAATTCAACAAAAAGATTCCGAAGATAGTAATCATTTAATCAAGGTTATCTGCACCTACAACTGTGGGGATCAAAAGAAGTTCAGGATTGGTTTAAATCTTAGTCACCTTCAACATTTACTGAGTCACTGATAAACATGGCATTAACATAAACAAATAAGAGAAGATAATAAACCTCTGGACTTCTCCTTCCACAGTCACAGCCAAACAATGGCTGTCCCCACAAGCAATTTGCTTTATTCTCAAACCCTGCAAAGCTTTGATTGGTTGAGGTGAAAAGACATCACTAGAGTTGCCATGACCCAACCTCCCAAAGTCACCCCTGCACAATCAACAAAAAGCTCGATTTTCCTCCGACTGACTGGGTTCATAAGTATCTATGTTGCTTATGCAATAACTAACCTTTGATTAAGATAAATATGACATTTGTAGAAGAAGAAAGGAGTTTAAGTTTATTTCGCATTAGACCCATTCATTTTGCCGTCTTTGTTATAACCACATTGAGAACATTCATCTCAACAGCAGCAAATCTCAAACAGAAATTCACGCAATGGCCAAATAAACCTTAAAGCCAATCTGAAAGAAAAACCATCTATTCAAGTCCAAACAACTGCCCAAGGTAAGAAATAGACACTACTATTCAGCAGAATGATTAAAAAATCAAAACTTTCATACTGTAAAATTAAAAGATTAGAACAGACCATCCCCAGCTATACACCTCCCTAAGTGATTCAGAATATGCAGTAGTGTGATCAGCTCCACAAATAGCAGATACTACTTCTTGACTATCCAATGCACTCAAATGTGTAGGTGATGAACGATCTTCCGCATCCCCATGGCCTAGTTGGCCATCCTCCCCTCGTCCCCATGAGCAAACAACATTCCCAGCTGCAGACAACACAGAGTAAGGTTTAAAAATGTATGATGCCAACCTAAATTTAAGAAGTTATTACTCAGCACAACAATTGAGCCATGCAAAGCACTGTAATTCTTTTTTCAAAAGACTATCATAAAGACACCAAGAGAAAGTACGAAAGATGCAATTATCACAGAGACTAATCCAAAAGTAAACAAAGATTCTAACACTTGTGCTGAATCTTACCATTCTATTTACCTCACAAACAAATGTCCAATCTTACCATTCTATTTACCTCACAAACAAATGTCCATGATCCATGAATTTGGAATTTGGAAAGAGTATATAACAATTAGAATTTTTTTTTTTTAAAAGGTCTCCTCACTTATACAGACTCAAGCCCTACTGCGCCGGAACAATGATTGAACTGGATACACGCAGAATCTCAACCCCAGTGAATAACCAAATGAAAGTGCATTACACTCCCAGCCCTTGATTACATCCAAGTCACACCTTGATTACCTTTCAAACTAGGGGTGTAATTGAGTCGAATCGAATCGAATCGGCACGGTTTAATAATCAACTATGCGCCGTTTGATGCTCCACTCGAGCTTGATTACTCAAGATTGAGCTCTATTTCCCAAGATCGAGCTTGACTAGATTAAGTTTTCAACAACCTCAAGCTCAAATAAGCTCAACTTGATTAAGTTTCGGATAATCTCAGATCTATACGACTCGATTTGCTATTTAGTTTTATTGTAAGCTCGAGTTAAGCTCAAAGTCCAATACTATAAGTGCAATAAATATCATAAATGTATCATGTAATTAAGACAAGAAACATTCGACGACTTGATTGAACCTGAGAGCTACTCGGACAAAGCATTTTCAAGTTCGAGCTCGACTCAACAAAATGTTCGAGCAGCTAGAACTCAACTCGAACTCGAGATGGATCGATCCATCCTCGAGCATTCTGCCATTTGAGATCGAGAAGATTGGTCGACTCATTTACACCCTTATTTCAAACATTACTACAAGGAACAGGGGCGCACTTATATTCGCTGAAAATGCACAGAAACGCGTGAAGACAGAACGAGAGCTACGAAGCGCCAAAAGTAAAGGAACCAGAACACCCAATGTCAGAAGACATACGACAACAACTCCCGCGACACTCTCAACTATAATGCTCCACATTTTGCAAAAGACTTTAAAAAAAAAAAAAAAACCCAGCTTTTAGTTCATTAGTGGTAACAAAAAGAGCGCAGCGCAGGGCAAACATGCTCAACGGCACACCCGGCAAGCCGATAAACCTAAAGAATCAAGGGTCTAGAATAGGAATGGCGAGCCACATCAACACGCATTTCGTCGCACGGGCAGGCAAACGCAGACCGCGCAGAGCAAGAGTCGGGGGGAAGCTCACAGAGAAGAGCGACGGAGTGGCTGGCGCCGGCGGAGATGAGAAGCACGCGCCGCACGGGAGCGCTGACCTCGCCGCTGCCGCTGCCGCCACTGGCCGAATCCACCTCCATCCTTCCTTCTCCGGCGACGACGAACAAGAAGAAGAAGAAGAAGAAAAAAACAGAGGGAGGGTGGGGGGAGGGAGAGAGAGCGCTGAATCACTAGCGAATGGTCGACGGAAAGAAGACCGATTCGGGGTGGGGACACAGAAGGAGAAGAAGAAGAAGAAGAAGGAGGAGGAGGAAGAGAAGGCTATGCTGTGCTACAATAGCTCGGGAAGTCCAAGAAAAGAGGGGGGGACCAGAGAGCTCTAGAAATAATGGGAGGGGAGATTAGGTAAGTGACGCCACGTGTGCATCTCCCTCCTAACATCGCCCCTTCATCTTCTCTGTCGTCCGCTTCACTTGCTCACTCACTGTAGTGTAGAGCTAGGGAGAGAGAGAGAGAGAGGGGACGAAGTAGACGAAGGTGGAAGGAGGAGATAGAAGAAGAAGATGAAGATGAAGGTGGGAAGGTTAAAAAAAAAGAGAGAATTGAGAAGACGGGTGAGAAGACAAGAGGCAGTTGAGGCGACCGACACCGGCATTGACTTTTGAGGCCCTCGATGCCGTGCCCCCCGCGGTACATTTTTGTCCGCCTCCCCTCTCCCCCGTCAAATCCATCTTAACCGTTAACCATTGTTAATCTTGTTATTTCATACACCAGTCATCCTCAAATCAAAATTTAAAGTTAATTTTATTTCAAATACGAATCTAACTTTACCGGCTGTTTAAATATCAATTTCGTCCGAAGACAATTTGAACCTAAATTTTAGTTAAGTTAGATTAAAAATTTTAAAAATATATATGAACCTTTTTTTTTTTGGAAAAAGCCAGTCCTTTCGATCATGGCTGACGGGTTCACCGACGACCCAACAGCCGAACCCGACGACCCAACAGCCGCAGGTGGAGTGCCGTGTGTTTATAGAAAGAAAAAAACTAAAAAAAAAATAACGAAAAAATAAAAAAATGAAAAATGCCCTTTGATCAGCCGGTGAGTTTAGGCCATTCTATGAGAGTGACATGGCAACTTCAAACTCTTATTTCAAACAATATCCACTCTATACCTTTTATTTGAGAAAGTGTGGGCACTTCGGATCCTTATTTGGAATTTTCTCGAAAATCGATCATAATAATTACACATAGTTTGACACCTCCTATAAGAGTGTTCATTTACTATTGTATCGAAATGAAGCATCGGTTTGCAACCGATCCATCTTAAAAGGATTTTCCCTCGATCGATAACTAAATATCTCGTCAAAAAGATTACCGAAATGATGCGCATGCCCCTTTCTTTTTTTAACCTTTTTACTTTTTCTCGTGCTTTTATAATATAATTTGTATTTCTGTAAAATTATGAAAGAATTACATGAGAGACTACGATCGACTATCGTGAAAGTTTCGATAGTTTGGGAGTTGAAATAAGCAGCGGTAATGACACAAATATTCCACAAATTTTGAGCCAACGTGCAATGCGGTTCTTGAAAATTTTAATGCTTGCTCAATGCTGTCTCAGATTTTTATAAGTGTTCCATTTAGTTTCCTGACCGTATAACTAAACGAACATATATCAAAAGTCCATTTACACATTTAGCTAAAATTCAGGAAAAATATCGAATAAATTTTAATGTTATGGACCATGTTACTACGGTTCAAATTTGCCATAACATTTTTTGTTACTATTCTAAACTTCTCTTTGTCATATATCAAACTTTTTTGTCTTATAAAACTCAAACTTTTTTGTCCAATCTATCTTTTGTCAATTTTTAATATTATTTTTATTTTTGAATTTTTTTTTTATTTTTTTTCTTCTTCCTTTTTTTTTTTTTTGTTTCACTTGGGCGCGTCGATCGGCACCGAGTGGGCGGGGCGAGGCTGCCTCGCGCGTGAGGCGAGCCTCGCGTGGGCGAGGCTCGTCCCGCGGTAGGGGCGAGCCTCGCGCGGCGAGGCTGCCCCGGTAGCAGGCGAGCTCGCGGTCGGCGAGGCATCGGCGCGGCGAGCCACTACACATTTCGCGAGGGAGACCGACCAGCCTCGCGGGGCAGCCATGCGCGCGGGCGAGCCTCGCGACGAGAACTACGGGGGGCGAGCCGCGCCCCTGCGAGCCGCGCCTGCGTCGCCCGCATGCGAGTCCCCGATGCGAGGTCCCGCGGACTGCCGCCCTGGGCGGACGCCGCCGAAGATGAAACAAAAAAAGAAAAGGAAAGGAAAAAAAAAAGAAAAAAAAATAAAAATCGAAAAAATATCTAATAAATTTTAATGTTATGGACCATGTTACGTACCGGTTCAAATTTGCCATAACATTTCTATTGTTTACCCAAACAAGTAACAGTGCACGAGCACAAAGTCAAAGTGGGGAGATAAAAAATGCAAAGCGCGAGACCCGCCTGTCAACGTAGAAACAAAACCCCTAAGGCCTAAGCTAACGAAGCACACGTGTCGGGCGACTTTTTGTGCCCCCCCCCCCCCCATCGTGCTTTGCACAGCGGTCAACGACGACCCGTTTTTATCCCTTTAATTTAATTTTTATTTTTTATTTTTTATTTTTTAATCTTTTTTTGTTTTTGCACTTTCCCGCCGTGATTAGATGACCGTGGCGGGGGGAGGGGGTCGGTGCGGCGGAGTAAATGACGGCGACGAATTCATTTCCGGGCGCGAGACCTAACGGTCAGAGCCAGAGGAGAGTTACCTTGGCACGTGGCCGCGCACGTGACCTGTCGGACCGAAACGGACAAATGCCAAAATGCCGGAAATGACGGAGGAGGAAGGACGAGGAAATTTTGGGGTGTGGGGGGGACAGGCGCCAATGGAAGAACATGGGAGAACAGCTCAGAGAAAACTGTTGACGGTGGGTGGTGCCTCTTCATCTTCGCGCCCGTGTCTTGTGACTAGGACTAGACGTGCGCTCCGATGGATGGTGCGTTCGGATTGAAGTCGGATTGGATCGGACACGAGGCCCGCCTCTGTTGTCCCGACGGTGTCCTATCTTTCGCGAGAATAGCAACTGCGATTCTCTGCTCGATCAGAGTCGGATCGGAAGTCGCGTCGCGTGTGACACGAGATGAAGAACGGTTCCGCCTTCCGAAAGGGTCCAGAGAAGACGTCGCTTTTGAAACCGTAACATGAGCTTGATTACCGAGAATAGAATTTGCGATCGCTCGCTCGTTTGGAGTCAGATCGGAAGTCACGTCGTGCGTAAAAGAGACGGAGACGGTATCGCTCCCGAAAGGGTCCAAAGAAAAGGCCGCTTTTGAAACTGTACATGAGCTTGATTATTGAAGGGGTTTGTGTACGATCGATGCCGACGCTAATGGACATTGTGATTGCCGATTGGCTTGTTATACCACGTTAGTCATGTGACAAGCATGTGAAACGGTTTCTCTCCATCTTGGGGTTTTGGGGATGAGATCAAAAGATTCGGCAAGAAAACAAAAACCAGGCTTGATTATGGGATTAACATTTGTGTCGCTGAAATAGCTGATTTGAAAAACATTTACTCCCAAAAACTTATTGTCCTTATCACTCAAAAACAATTTAGTCAATTGAGAATATTTTTGTATTTGACAAGAAAATAAAACCCAGGCTTGTTTACGGTCCTTACGGGATTAACATTTATGTCGCTAAAAATAGCTAACTTGAAAAACATTTACTCCTAAAAACTTATTGTCGGTATCACTCAAAACAATTTAGTCAACCGAGAATATTTTTATAATCGACGGTAATTTACGTCTAGAATCTTCATTAATGAGAAAAAGATTTTTCACTATTTTCTGATGCGTTGATTTACCGCAAAAACAGGTGCACATCCATTGGAAGCCATTTGGGGCTCCGCGGGGAATGGAGAGAGAGGCCTGATCCATGCCACTCCAAAAAGCCCAAAAGAAAAAGATTCAAAAAAATCAGTCCATTTTCTAAAGCTGTATTCGCGAACTGCCCCGAAAAAAGCCCAAGAGGAAACTCACGAAAGATCCACACCAACTCCTAATCCAACTGAAAGGAAAGCCCTCGTCGCAAAGTGCAAAAAGTTCTGAAGATTTCACATGGAATACAAGTGCTAAAATGCATGCAAATTCAAAAACCTGGACACTGCTAACATCACCAGTGTCAGCATATCGAAGCCCCCTACGAGAAGGCACATGAATCCAAAGGGACAGACCAAAAGCAAAATGATCGATTTGACACATTTATCTGTCACGTGGTGCTATAGTTTCCATCCGTTCACAAAGTTCTTCTTCAGAGACTAGGAGTTGATTTGCTTAGAAGACCAGTAGTGCCGAATATCCTTTTGGGAGAACCAATGGATGGAACTTGTCCCGCATGCGCGGGTGATGAATGTGGAAAATTATCTTTGGAAAGAGACGACGAGATTATTGCGGAGCACGCGGGCTATGTCTCATTCTCGACCGTAGAGTTTGCATTTCTTTATTAACCATATATAAAACAGGGTTAGAAGACATGTTTCGGACGTGGAAATGGGAGTATGGAAGAATGGAGTGGATCGACGAAAGAAAAGGGCAAAATAATACTAGAAGTGCCAAAAGTTTCTTACGGCGTTCACTTTATTGCCAAAAGTTTTTTTTTCGGATCACTTAAGTACTACTTTTTCAAAAACATGATCACTTAAGTGCCAATTCCAATTTGGGTCGCCAAAAATCCGACGTGACCATATTTTATTAATTTCATTGGCCGACATGGCTCACTGGCATGCCCAGTCAACATATAGAGCCATAAACGACATTATCTACAACGTTTACCCCAAAATATAAACCCTAAATCGCAAATTGGAAGAAATTCCTCAATTAGAAACCCTAATGACCATCAACCCAAAATCGAAACCATAATTCGGTTTGCCCCCAAAATTTAACAGCTCAATCTTGCAAATGGAGAGCAGGAGCATGACGGGCGGCTCAAATTCGTTTCAACGAAGCGAAGAAGAAGCTAAATATTACTCTTGTTGTGGGCTACCGAGTCCATTGGACTCGGTTGAATCCCAAAAGAAGATTCCATGGATGCGCTAGGTATAGAGAATGCTCGAAGTGTAAATATTTCAAGTGGGTTGATGCGAAATTTTCAGGTCAAGTGATAAAA